CAAAATGTTCACTAGCCTTTCTACGGAGTAAACCTACTCTTCTACTCGGAGCAAAAAGACGAATGCAACATGGAATGATTTTTGTAATAAACGCGAATGAGAAACTGACTTTCCGCCGGCGTCTCCTTTCCTCTGATCAACAGTTATGTATACATCTGCAATATAACCATGCAGCATTTTCTTCGCAGAATCGATCATTCGATAAGCTAGTGAAGGAGTTACTTTTGTGACATATGCCTGCCCACGAATTTTGCATATTTTGCCTTGCTTTTCTCTCTGCAAAAGTCGTAGTGGAATATCAATAGCTCAAGAAGAAGAAAAAGAAAAAAGTTATTCATGTTATATCACAAATTACTTTCGGCGAAAACGCTCTTAGGAAAATATCGCAAAAAATAGCTAAATTGTACCTGCACCGGTCGCAAAGTTTTGACGATGGGTGCTGAAAAAGTGATACATCCACCACCACCAGGCTTCAGACCGCGAGCACTTATCTGCAATCATGAACAAATTACACTCAAAACGAGGCAACATAGAAAACCAAATTTGGATATACCTTTAACTCCAATTTCTCATCGTTGAGCACGAATTTATTGTAAACAGGAAGCCAAGTCGCCCTGATTGCATCCACGGATAATTCTCCTGGAGCGTTTGTGACTCCTAAACTCCACGAAATCATTCAAACTTTAAACAGTTGAAAAAATCTTTCAGACATACCTTTTAGCTTTACCGTCATTGCATGTTTACAAAATGGAGATATGATTATGATAGGTTCTAAGAAATAGGATAGGCAACGTTCAGACCCACAATCCATTGTAAATACTCCTCCCGTAATGATACCCGGACGGAAGCGCACTTCAGTACCTAAAAATGGTACAATCAACAGCATGCTTCAACATCCCATTTCCAAAACAATTTCGTCGATGCATAGCGCACAACATCAAGCGCATTTCAAGAAATCCTGATCTAAAGACTCTCTTGATCCACACTTTTTCGAAACTACTCGCTTCCTCGCTACACAAGGTAATGCTAATAGAGATAAATGCATCTCATCGCATCATAGGGAGTGAGCAATGCGAAATATTTCACATTTCAGCTTGAAAAACTAGACTTTAATAATATATAACAAGCTCAAGTCAAAAAGCAATGACCTGTTCTACTAATTTCGACTTTTGTGCCGTTGGTGATTTTCTCCAGCAGAGCGATGAGTTTCGCTTCGAAATCTAAAAAGTTTGAGATATGAAGCAAAAAAGGCAACGCAGAAGATCGGCTAACCTTTGATTCCAGGAGCATCATCATCACTCCTGATATTTCTTATAGTAACGGGTCGTCCGCTCAACACAGAATATGCAAGTCTTTGACGGAAGAAATTGCACCCTTCGAAGACGAGCTCTTCTGTTGCCATGTCTCAGGCTTGCTTTCAGCTTCTAAGCTGCAAAAGGAGATTCTTAAACACATACATATGACAGCAAGAACTTTCATCTCCAGATACGCATTTTGCATCTTCCATTAAAACAACACGAAACTAGGGACGAACAGCAGTCATGACGACCTCTATGAACCAGTTCATTTGTGGCAGCCGGGAAGTAAAGAACTTGAGGCACAGCGATTACGGGGTTCAGAAAGATTAAAAAGCACTATCGAAGTTCTAACGAAAAACCTTATGCTCTCATAGTCGAATCCCTTGACGCTACTATTCCACGCTGCAAAAATCGTCGCGGGTTCGAGCTATGACTATAAGGGCACTCTATGAAGCCACACTTGCATACTACTGTTCACCTGCGACTGAAACAAATATTCTTTACTGCAAACAAACTGGAAAGATTCAAAAAAATACAGAAAAAAGACAGCATGAGCCTGACCTCAATGAGCCGTTTCCTCCACGGGCGAGTTGTGCATGGTACGCGCTACACACAAACGTAGTCACCGTAGTCGGGAAAAAGGTGTCCCAGCATGCATGCTTCAGAAAATTAAGAGCTGTTCGCAATGAAGTTGTCACCTATTTTATCAAAGTTGTACTTTTCAAATGAAGAAGATCAGCACTATTCAAATATTACAATCCCAGTATTTCAAAATGTTTATTTCGGTTGAAATTTGACCTGGAAGAGTAACACGGTGTTCCCATAGAGAATATGGCATTCTTTTATAGCGCTAGCGCCATTAAGCGCCCATTTTTCACTCGCTTGCGCCTTCCCAGTGAAGGCTATGTCTAGGAGAAGGTCAGTGAGCCGTCCACCCCATGGCTTCACACACTGTACATTTACCAGCCGGAGTCCGCCCTCACTAGGTCTAAGCTTAGGCGCTGTGTAGTCAGTGAGGGATATGGCCATTAAGATATGAGCTAAACAAAACGCCGAAAACGAATGTCATGTCGACTTATCCCATAATAGTCTACAAAAAGTAGTATATATTCACTTAGTGAGCAGCCAGGACAAAGCCTAGGAGGGGGTGCAAGTCCCCGAAGAAAGCGAAGGTTGCTCACGAACCCGGAGGATTTCCCTCCTTCTGAGGTGGAGTCCAAGACCTTTACACTGGGGGAATGCTATCAGTTGTTTTAAACACGTCCAGCTCTCTTAACCAGGTGCCTCCCTCCTTTCTGGAATAGATCGAAAAATTTTACCAAGAATCTAGTCGTGACCCGTTCCTTTGATTCAAGCCAGTTTGATTGTAAGATAGTTTTGTTCTATTAGGTCAGCACATAGTTTTTAAGACTTACGACACAGATGTTTTTCGATTCACGTACTTAATTTATTTCTCTGATGTATTTATTCAACATAGTACATCACCACTCTTATCAAAATATCGCCACGCAAAGGTATTTGCTCAATATCTCTATTATGGAACTTCATAGAGTTCTGATCGAAGAAAATTTGATGTCGATTTCAACATGGTGATTAGGAGGAAGATTTCTTCTTCAAAATGTGGAGTAGAAGACGTGAGGAGCGCCGTTGGTACAGGATAAGTGCTACAAGGGGAGTCAAAAGAAACTGACCGCCCGAGAGTCTCCAATTTTTATGAATTTTCCTAGCAAGGTGGACTCGAACAACCTCAGAAAAAAATAGATTTTGCCTTACTTTGCTTTCCAGTGTTGAAGGCATCGCCATCATGCTGTCGACGGTTATCTTTATCACTGACATGGTATTATTTAGCGTCGATTCCCAGCGCAAAGCCCCTCTGGTATTCCGCCAACAACTCAGGAAAATAGACTTCAGACGGAGTTGGGCTTTTGCTGTCAGAACTCCCGAATCGGCTTGTTAGCACACGGCACCCAGTCCACATCACCGATGAGTTTGCAGGATGGTAGTTTGACAAATTGGTAAGCATAGCGGTCACTAGTACCCAGTTAGTTCTTTCTTTATCTGACTCATCACTTTCAGGGCGGAGACCAGCGACGCCGCCGACACGAGGAGACGTCTGGCAGCAGCGGCCGAGGACCGCGACCTCTTCTGTTCCGATTCCTCACCTCTTCTCCTCCAGAGTGCGACACCCTCTGGCACGAGCCGCATCAAGATCTCATATTTCATCGTTGCCTCCGTTGCTTACTTGTATCCACAATATTTCTTGTGCCTTATGTTCTCAGCATTTTGTATGAATTCGGTCGTTAGTACTATGTTCTATATTGATGTCTCAAGGATAAAAGCTTATTAATATCGAGTTTCGGAAGGAAGTTGAATGACGGCGCGCACTCGCTTAGTGAACTATGGGAAACTAACGGGAAACTAAACAAACTGGCGATGTCAGATCAGGCTTAGAGCTCAGAGCGCGTGAGAAACAAACTCCATACTTTCAAACCTTAGCGACTTTATCGATGTCTCAGTACTTCACCTTGTCACACCAAAAGCGCTCTGACAAATAGCGCTCACTTTGTTCAGATTCCTTTTCAATGGCGCCGGATAGAGCATCGAGATTGCCAGTCACGGGGTGGTTGGAGTGGATCATCTTCGAATAAAAGGAGGGAACTTTGCGGTAGCCACCTGAGCACCGTGGATTGAGAGAGCGTGCCCTCAACTATCTTCTGGTTAATCCTACATGTAGCGAAGATCCTAATCGGTCATGAAGAAAGAGGCTCAGAAATAGGTTTCGAAGAAATTGGAATCTAGCTAAAGAAAGCAACAAGCAAACGAGGTGGCTAGCCTGTCGGATAGGCGAGCTTGTGTGCTGGTTGCAGGACATCTTGGAAAGCTTCAATACTTATCAAAAGATTTTACAACAATACATGCAAGGAAAGACTCGGATGAGTCCGAAAAAACCTTGGTAACCGCGTTCGTCGAGATTAGGCTTTGTAATAACATTCATCTCGATTTCGCAGTTTGTGAGTCGGATTACCTCTCCTGTAGAGCAAATGGTTCCTTCTTACATGACCACGTAAAGTTTTCATAACATTTAATGAACGTGATCCTTGCGCTTACGAATCCTCACCTCCCGTCGGAGGAAATACGGCTTCTGTCGAGGATCTCCCCGACCTGTTGTTCACCCCGTCTTTCACCAACAACGACGCCCAATGATGTCGTAAATTACCCATCAAGCCCACTTCTACACACCCCACGGTAAAAAGTAGCAGTCTGTGAACTGTGCCAAACGAGGCGTCCTCGCAGCAGAAGATGCCCTAGAAGTGAAGCAATTAGACGTTAAACGTCGGCCTTTTCCGCTCAGCTGCTAGTCGCTTCGCTTATTCATAGCATGACGTAGTTTTTCAAAAACATTTGCAAGTCATAAGGTACGAATCTGCCACAAAATTTCTTTCAAGGGC